TAATGTTGGATGAAAAATGTTGGGTGGATAATGTTGGATGAAAAATGTTGGGTGGATAATGTTGGATGAAAAATGTTGGGTGGATAATGTTGGATGGATAATGTTGGATGGATAATGTTGGGTGGATAATGTTGGATGGATAATGTTGAGTGGATAATGTTGGATGGATAATGTTGGGTGGATAATGTTGGGTGGACACTGAGCCTCTTTTTCGTCCATAGGGGGTTGAGATGCCGAAGCCTGGGACTATGGGGGGAGGCGCCGGGCTAAAGAAGGTGCCAGATGAGATTTCTGCTCAGCATCAGAAACCCACAGCTGCAGACGCCAAACCCCAAGTGCCAAAGGACCGGGGCCCCAGACCCACAGATTCTGCACAGAAAGATGTCGTCCCTGTCGGCCCCAAAGGCAAGCCTGCTGTCCCAATCCAACCGAATGCGGCCCCCGAGCCCCCGAAAGCCAAAGCACCCACCGGCCCAAGAGCATCGCACTACCAGTCCTCAGAATCAGACTCTTCTGAGTCTTCTGAGGAGGCCAGCGACACTGTTGTCAGGCCACCCCAGGATTTCAGGTACAAATATTCTCGCCAAAAGAGGCAGGTGTCACCCAATGTCAGGCCGGAGCACATCCCAGAATTCCTGAGCCTCTTCCCCAGCACGCCATCCCCGTTCCGCTCCTGCCCCGGGGCACCGCGCTACACCACTGTGTGAACGAACGCAAGTGCTGATCTGTTGTGCATTTTGGCGATGAACTGACATTACATGAATTGATATTTCATTGTAATTTTGTTGCCAAATCTACGACATGCCAACTTAATAAAAGTGATGCAAACTGGTCTTTATCGTTATTAACATTGTACCAAAGCAGCAGTGTAGTAGTAATAGTAGTAGTAGTATTATAAGAGTAGTATGATGGCGAGTACCTGCCCCTACCATTTAATTAAGGCCATTGCTGTTGGTATAAACAGGCAGACAGGGATTCACTGAAAAAGCCAACCAGTTCAACCAGTTCAACCAGTTCAACCATACTCAGTTACACTCTTAAGAACTTTCTACAGGAAATCCCAGTTATTCTCTGTTGCATGTCATATCTATACACCTGTTATATTTTTACATTAAAATAAAAACCTCTTAAATTTAGTGTCAAATTAGATCCCTTTCTTACCTAGAGACTGTCTCCAAAGCAGTATTAGTCTGTTTAAAACACCAAACATTTTTCTAAAACAAAGAAGGCAGATGATACTTCAGGATGAATCAAATCCTCCATCCTAACTACAACTGAGTCCACTATGCCGCTTATGACTGCTGTTATCGAACAGCTTTTGCTGGCCAACCCCTATTTAATGGCTGGAAGCCTCTAGTTGCCCTAATTTTTAATGAATACAGCAAATGTTCATTAAAAAACTGCACTACTTAACCTGACGCAGAAGAAATGCCTGAAGAATGCAATTATAAAGCGTAACTCCATTTGGAATGTTAGACAGGAAGAAGAGGCACAGAACTGAGAGGGAAGGTTTTTTTTTTTACTGGGCTAAACATTAGAACTGGGGGGGAAAGAAGTGAAGAAGCACAGGGGGCCAAACAGTCTGTGGAAGGTCAGCAAAGTCAGGGAATGTGACATTTTGAGAGGAAAACCAGAAGTTTATTTTATATTTTATTTGGTGAATATGCAGAGGGGGCTACAGGGGCTGCTTGACCCCTTGACAGCAACCCCCCCTCCCAGTCCTGCAGAAACATACTTAGTTAATAATTAATGGCAAAGTGCAGGGACGAATCAAGCTTTTATCCCGTATTACGTCCCCTGTGCGTCGCCTTCGGCTGGGAATTATCACTCACAGCCGCGTTGTAGCTCGGGATACATAAAGCAGGGACACGACAAGGTGAGGCAACTTTCTAAGATGTGTGACTGACTTCTAGGCTTTGTGCAAGCAGTAAGCAGTCACAGTAGCTAGGTCTGCTCCATCCACACTACTCTCAAGAGTCTGGGTTTGGTTTCAACACTGGTAGGGACCAAATCGGCCCGACATGTCCTCACCGTCGACACCAAAATCGACCCTTGTCTCAATAGGAGACAAGGGTCAGAATCATTTCCGGTTTTGACATATCAAAGCAACTATCTCTGAAAGACTATTTATAGTTCGTTTGCATCCGTCAGACTGCTCAAGTGGGGGTCTGCCTATGTCTACCGAACAAGTTTCAGAAGGGTTCAGAGGCGCTGCTGGTTTGCAGCCCTAAAAGAAGACTCTCCTTGACCTTTGTCCACCTGCTTTGTGAAGATCAACTATTTTTGAAGCTACGTTTAGCGTGTGACTCTCGCTTCTGACTGCCTACAGTATAGGCTTGGTCTTTGTGCACAATTGATCAATTGATCAAAGTATTAATGGGGTCAAACTAAAATGGATGCATTGTGAAAGATCTTGAGTACAAAAGTGCAATAATACCAGTTTGCTGACCTTGCAAATCGCCCCATACAACTTACATATAACACACTTTTTAGTCTCATTCAATAAAATTATCACAAATTTGTCCGCTGATTGAAAAACAAGTAAACAGAGAACAAGTTATGTCCTGTTCTTCTTCTGTAGTACTATTCCAATATTTCTGATAATATATCCACAATAATTTTGCACAGACGCCTCCCTAAGCAGCTCCTACCCAAAGCTACAATAGCTAGGCTTCCGCAGCACCACATGTCTGCCTTTTGATGTGTGACACCCACAGAATATCTGGCTGCTTTCTCTGAATGGTATTCATCTTCAAAAAGCACATGTGGAAATCCTGCCCTTTGACCACACGCATACTGCTTTCAATAAAGTCACTGAACCAAACACAGCAGCCCTGTCCCAACATCTAGGCAATTTCCATACAGAAAATATGTTTGGAATTCATGGGAACAAAAGTGTTTCAAATAAGTATAAATTTTAAGTTTTCGCACTACACAATGTTAACTAGAGTAGCAGGTATTTAAACACCAAACAGGAAAATCACAGTGCATCTAAACTATAAAACAAAAGATGCAAGAAATAAATTGCATGAATCTAAAGTACTTTAGACAGTCAAAACCTCTGAGGATGTTTAAATTAATAAAATTAATGATAATTAATAAAATGATATCCCACTGCAAAACCTTTAAATCATTTCCTTGTGCATGCTATTAAAAGCTAGCTGTATGTTGTTTAAAAACTTTTATTTTTCGAATCAAGCTCAAAATGACCAACATGCACAGCTGTACAGCTTATCTTGCTAAGGCTAGTTCGTGCAGAACACCACACAGGTGTTGAAATGCTTTCCTGGTTCACTAAATATGTATGCATGGAAATCCATGGAAAGGAACACGGTTTCTGTCAGTGACCGCTCAGGCACTCCTGACCGGGGTTAAAAATTAATGCTGCTTGTTTAACCTTAGCAAATAACTGTCAAAAGATGGACCCTGTGACCTGGAAGGTCTCACACAGTACAAGCAAAGCTCGTCACAAAAGTTCACCCAATCCAGGTGGCTGACAGATGAAGACTGCGGGAGATATAAGGAATATCTTTATCTGTGGTGATCCTTCCCAGTCCCCACACGCACTCGTTAATCAACCATTGCATGTGTTTATCCCCAAACACAAAGGAAGACAAACACAAATAGAGTAAGAATCTAGAAAATTAGCTTGATAGCAAATGCACTATGTTGTTTTTCCTTCAATGAAATGGACCTTCTTTATTGTCAGTGGTCTGTAGCTATCATCTTCATCTTTTCATCATTGTTGCTACGTAAGTTACAGACCATAAGCCCTGAGGTCTCCGTGATCTCGGTGTATCTGGCCTTCACTCTCCTCCTTGGTCCTGCTTGCTGTTGGCTCTTTTGGCTCCGCTACACATTCTGACACATAAGTACATAAAAATACTAATTTTAATGCATTTTAAAGAGAGATGGGGGATATTTCTATACAATCTTTTAATTATAGATCATAAAACCTTTATAATGAGCAGAGAATATTCCAGCGAAATTCATGCTTTGTAATTTTAATACTCACTAACAGCCAAGATTCAAATAACAGAAAGTATTCTCTTTTTCTGGTTTTATTTATTTATTTATTTTAATAGTGTTTTATTATAAAACTAACAGTAGTCATTTGGCATTACAGCTATGGAAAAAATTAAGAGACCACTCTATATTTTTAAAGAAATCTGCATTTTTAAATCCTGGTTTAATCCTGGTTCTGCTGGAATAGAGAAATATTAAGTGCAGGTGTGAAGTGCACTGCTAGGACAGTGTGTATCAGGCTCCTAGAAGCAGGACTGAAGTCCCATAAAGCAAGGAAGAAGTCCTTCATTAATGAGAAGCAGGGAAGAACCAGGCTGCAGTTTGCAGAAAAAATATATATTATTCACAGACGCACAGCCATAAATTGAGAAATGAGTGAAACAAAAAATTGTGCTGTGGTCTCTTAATTTTTTCCGCAGCTGTATAAGCAGAGAATTGCAACCACATACTTCAATAATAGAGCCTTGGATTTGTTGTTGAACATTATTAGATGAGGTCAATGAGAGAAGGTTTTGTATTAAACCACAGGTCTGAGATGAGAATGCAAGTGAAAACACTCTAATGGCTAACAGTAGCTAGCAGCTACTCACTTAATGCTTTACATTGGCATCACACCAGAGCAAAACATGTTTGCTCTTCTCCCTGTAGCGTCTGAATGACAACAACATATAAATACTGCAGGAGTCGCAAGGCCGTTTATCTGAAGTTCCGCGCAGCAGTCGGAGCCATGCTGACACTCGCTGGATTGTTCTTGCTGGCCCACGTCTTCCTCGCCGCTGGCGTACTGCCCGCAGAACGCCCGTCCATCCCCTGCGATGAGAACGGGGCAGTACCCGCATCCCAGGCGGCATTCCAGCACATCAGTGCCCAGCATCACCACGGCTACAAATACAAGCTCAGAAAGTCAGCCTCCAGCCAACTGCTAAAGAAGGTGAGGGTTAGGGCTCGGCCACGTGTCATTCCCAGTGTCAGGCGTACAGGGAGACCCAGTGACTTTCCTTCTTCGCAGGATGATCTCGCCTGTGAATTTCACTTGGAACTGGATCTGGAGGAGACCACATGTCATGTCGTGAACCCTAAACCCGTTGAGGAATGTGTGGTCAGGGAGACGCACGAAACAGTGAGTCTCAGGAAACACCCAACATTCTAAACACTGTCCTATCAGCTTTTCTGTTTTTAACTGCTTTTTATTTGCATCTGTAAATATTAGTGTCTGTTAAGTTCTCCACAAACAGCCGATTATGCAACTCGGGTAAATATGAATATCTAACCTGTCTGGCAGAAAGTCCAATCAAACTGCAATGTGACCTTAACTGTGGTGGAAGGGAAGCCTACAGTGAAAAAATACTCCTGTTCATCCGATCCTGGTAAAATATGACTCCCTTCTGCTTAACAACAACTGCTGTGGCCAGTTTCAGTCGCAATATCGCAACGGTGGTGTCTTTTAACTCAAATGGCGTGAACCCTGCTCCCTGTTTTGACCCCCAGCGTCAGCAGAGGAATTACAGAAGATTTGCCCCGACTGTCCGTCTCTGCTTCCCCTTCATTACCCTGCCGGCCTGGACAGCATCAAGAGCGCTCTGAAGAAATTTCACGAGGAGTCCAATGAAACCAGCAACTTCAAACTGCTGGAGGTCGGCAGACTTTCCACACAGGTGGGTGTTTTAAAAAAATCGCAATCCTGTCCGATAGAATTGTAACAAGAACACAGCAAATGCAACCGCAGTAGGTAAATATTTACTATTACATTTCGGTTATGACTGGTTGAAATCTCCTGTTTCCATCAACTGCCGGTGTGACTTGTATTATGCTTTTAAAGGAAAATATTCATAGGATGAGTTGTGACGATAGCACATTAGCTGATGGTTTATGCATGATAAATAACCAGGGTTCTTTCAATGGACCCTGACTTCTACATGTCTTAAATTTAATCAATCATATTATTTTTCTATTTGTATAGCTTAAGTAAGAAAAGGCCGTGACCTGTTATTGTGTCAGAAATGCATTGTTGTGTCCCCCTTGCAGCACATGTTAACTGGGCAATCCTACTTGGCTGAATTTGCCATTGTGCAGACCGACTGCCGGTCCCACGTCATATGCGTGCTTGGCAGGGGCAAAGCTGTAAGTATACCTTCCTGTATCCATCCATCCATCCATCCATCCTTGACCACTTACCCAGTAGAGGGTCACAGAGAGCCTGCAGTATGTAATTGCAAACAAAGAGCACAGACTCACAGTCACAAACTACAGGCAATTTAAGGACACCAGTGCACATAAACACACATTTCTGGACTGTTGGGGGAAACGGGAGCAACTGGACGAGACACAAACAAACATGGGGAGACTGAGCAAGGTCCACAGAGGAAGGACATCCTGCTAATCCTGGAACCGCCAGCCTGTGGTCCAAAGAAACCAGCGGCACCGAGCCTCTGCTGCCCCACCAGGCCCATCTTCATCAGAGCTGCTAGCTGCTCGTATGGTCAGGGCGTGAACAGGAACCACGCAGGCTGGGAGCTCACTGGTCATTCACCTACATCATTAAAAAATGCTAAAGTACATTTTCACGACATAAAATATCGGAATGTAGTATAGTGTTTTATTTCAGTGGAAATGCATCAGTAAAAATATACTTTAGTTATCAACTAAGGCACGAATGAATTAAGCAGAGGGAGGGGTTTGTAAGAAACCCAAGACCCGTTCAATCATAGAGGCTTCGTCTGAATAAAGTGTCTAATGGCTTATTCACCCCCCTCTTTTCAAAACGGTTCTTCTCCAGCAGTACGGCTTCTGTAAGTCTACAGTGCTGGGAAACGATGAAGTCAGTGTGGACTGTGAAATCTATGATGCACAGGTACGAACTGCCCAGTTGAAAAATCTATAGGTTGTGTTATGGACCATGTACAGAGTCACAATAGGATTATTGCTACTATAAAAATTTGTTTTCAAATCGTATTTGTTGTGCATTCTGCACAGAACTTGACTGATGGTCGCCATCATCATCATCATCGTCACCACCGTCCTCACCATCATCATCATCATCCTGGAGGGAAGCACAATGGCCATCACTCCCACAATTCCTCACATGAACACCCTCATTATCGCCGTCCTGGTGGGAGACACAATGGCCATTCCTCGCAGGAGGACTCACATGAACATCCTCGCCGTTCTCGTCCTGGATGGAAGCACAATAGCCATCCTTCCCACAATTCCTCACATGAACACCCTCATTATCGCCGTCCTGGTGGGAGACACAATGGCCATTCCTCCCATGAGGACTCACATGAACATCCTCGCCGTTCTCGTCCTGGTTGGAAGCACAATAGCCATCCTTCCCGCAATTCCTCACATGAACACCCTCATCGGCCACATAATCTGCCACCTTTCTTCTCTGGTTCTTCTGAACACCCACATCCAGACACTGAGCTCCATCACTGCCGGGGTCAAGTGAAAATCCCACCTTCCATCCATCCAATTTGTCCCCATCCGATTCGGCACATGCCCCCAACCCCTGCTGACAATTGACACCCCCATACCCTAGGCCCTCAATCAAAACCGCTTTAAACCAGGTCCACCATCTATTCCTGATGTATGAAAGAGCATATTTAGGAATTTCACAAATACAACATCTTGAAATAAATGTGCTGCTTGGCTGAAAACTGTTTTCTCATGTGTGCTGTACTTTGCACTCTTTTTTGTATAGGCCTGTGTTTCCCAACCTGGTCCTCAGACGGTCCACGTTTTTGCTCCCTCCCAGTTACCTACCTGACAGTCCACATTTTTGCTCCCTCTTGAGCAGGGAGAAGAGCAAAAACGTGGACTGTCTGGGGGACCCCGAGAACCAGGTTGGGAAACACCGGTATTGTCGAAATGACTATGTGTACCTGTCACTGTAAACAGTCTGCACAACCTGTATCAACATCCAACTTGAGAAATATCAACAATCTTCCATATATGCGGTACAGGCTATGAAATTAAATATCACTTATAATATGAATTGTATATACTATATTTTAGTTTCAAAAAATGTGTGTAAAGGAATATTTCTAATGCATGAATGAATTTCAAGAAAGAACTGAAGTTGACTGGAATTCGGATCTGGCCATTTTCTGTTCATGATATATTACAGCATAAAGAGAACATTACAGAACTCAGCATTATAGAGCTAAGAATTTACTGAAGACATTTACATCATAAACCGTACATGATACAACAGCACTGCGATGTTACTGAGACCCATGCAAGTGTGTCAATAATCACTCTTTCAGATCTGAGGTGTCCGCAACAGTCAGACTATTGTGTTGCGACAAGTAAGTAACCAGCTGATTAAAACCACTAGATTAAAACCACACACTGCAGTCGACTTCACAAAGAGACCTACGCTGGCTGGATGAGTAGGAGCTGAGGTAAGCAAACTTGCTGATGGGCAAATAGCAGTGCATCAATAGTGGGCAAGGTCTTGTTGACTTACCTTTGGCCATGTTGAACAGGGATCAGGGCTGCAGAGTCACTGCCGATAAGCTGTGAGGTCCAGCAGAGGGTATTTAAGGTCTGGTGTTTAATGAGAGCACCACACTACAGAGTGCAACCTGAGCCGGCCATGAAGACCCATGCATTGCTGCTGCTGCTCTGTGCGTGTGCCCACGGGGCGCCCAAGGAGCGCCCGACGCCGGCCTCCTGCAAGGACCCCGCAGCTCTGGGAGCTGCCAAGCAGGCCATGGCCATGATCAACCAGGACCGCAAGCAGGGCTACGTGCTCAGCCTGAACCGCCTCTGCAACGTCAACCAAATGCAACGTGTAAGTGACCCCTTATGAAGATTAACCATGGTTTTACTATGATTAAATAACCATGGTTTACAATGGTTTGCCGTTTTTCATGGTTTTTTGGGTAACTATGGAAACCATGACTATGGTTTTATCATGGTTTCGCTACAGTTAAACCCTAGTATAATCTTGGTCATAAACCATGGTTTTTGTTTTACCATGGTCTTTGTTTTACCATGGTCTTTCCAAACCAAAGTACCATGAGGTACCATAGTAAAACTATGGTTACTGCATAAAAACCATAGGAAGCCATAGTGAATTTTCTTAAGTGACAGACCATGCCTGTGCAGCGAGTGCAGGAGCCCCAGTGTTCGGAGCTCTGCTGGAGAAAAACGATTTTTGTGAGCTAAACTGCCTATTGTTCAGTTCCAAAGCTAGGAAATAGTAACAGCACATGAAAAGAAAACCCTGGACTGTCAGTAAGACATGGACACAGGGCAGCGAAAGGCAAACGAAACGAAAGCTTAGTGCCTACTTGCTGGTGGGCCTGAGTAATGAGCACGACGGCCCAAATGGACCTGAAAGTGTTATTGAAACCAGATTATCGATAGCGTGGTTGTTTCTGCTTCTTCAGGGTCCCACGGGGGTGGTCTACTACCTGACCATGGATGTTCTGGAGACCACATGTCATGTCCTCAGCAAAATAGACCGGGACAGCTGTGATGTCAGAGAACCCATGATGGTATGGATGAAGAGAAAATCTATATCGTTTTGAAACAACTCATAAACCAAACAAAGATACTATTAACTATTTTAATCTTTCTCCTTGATTGACAAAGCATTACTCTCTGTTTTGTGCAGGACTATGGTCAGTGCAAGGCCATAATCTACATAAACAGGGTTCAGAGGGAGGTCACCTTGCATAGCTACAGCTGTTCTGTGAGACCAGGTACTGGATTTGTTCACAATGTGTGTTGGCCTCCCTTTGGTGGTTCACTGCAATTCACTGCAAATCCGCAGTGTTATAGCACCTCTTGACTGGCTCTTACTTTCTTGTCAGTACCGGTGTCCAGAATGTTCGAAATCTGCCCAGACTGTCCCCCAAAGGTTCCCCTGGATGGCGAGAATGTTCTGGAGACCACCAAGCAGGCACTCGAGGAGTTCAATAGAAAGAGTGGACTTGCAAACTACTTCGCCCTTTTGAATGTCACAAGGGCCACTGCTCAGGTATGGCTCAAGATGGTTGCTCATCATTTCAGCAATAGTCCTAATTAGGCACAGTATTTACAACTTTATTTACATAGTGACTGGCGTATACATAGTTGGGTGGCATGTTGGCCTAGTACAGTGGTTCTCGGTCCTGTTCCTGGAGGACCCCCTGGCAGAATGTTTTCATTCCACCCCTACCTTAGTCGGGCTCAGATGGTCCTTAACAGGGTAGTAATGAGTGTGGCAGGTTGAAAGCTGTGTGGGGGCTGGAGTTAAATCACTGTGGCAGGGACCCCCTCCTAAAGCAGGAGTGAGAAGCACTGCTTTAGTGGCTTAGGCTGAACCTTCACACTTCCATGGCTGGGCAACTTCACGTGGGGTTCCTGTCACACTGTGGTCTCCTCCCTCAGCTAGGTGGGGGGGCAGGGGGTGGCTCAGTGGGCTAAGTCTCTGTGCCTGTGATCGGAATCGTTCAAGCCCGGCCTCGGCAGGACAGTCACATCTGTGGACACTTGAGCAAGGCCCTTAACCCCCATCACCATGGGCTCCGCTACCTTCACTGGCAATGTTGCTCTTAAATACATGTGTGTCTGTGTCTCACGGAGAGCAAGATGGGGTAGGTGAAAAGAGAATTTCCCCATGGGGATCAATAAAGTATCATCCTTTCATTGATTAGGCGACTGTTTGCCTGGAGCATGCTGGGATAGACTCACTACGACATTATGAAGGAAAAGCAGTCAGAGGAAACTGACGGACAAATTAGCAAGGGCCAAATTAATCACAATAATAATCTATAAAGGACTTAAACTAAGCAGCTAAATGACAAGAGAATGACTGAGTGGCAGCACTCATGTTGAGGGTGTACTCATTGATGTAATGAACCTTTTTTCACAATGTTACAGAGGGGAATCGGTATATTCGACTTCGTGGAGTTCATCATTCAGGAGACAGTTTGTGCCAACAACACAAACATCACGGAGGCTGCGAACTGCAAGCTGCTGAACTGCGAGTTTGCAGTGAGTCACAATAGCGATACTTTGTTTTATTTCAGAATAATTTGGAATAAAAATGAATACTACAAACCCAAGACTATACTCTGAATAGTAAAAACATAATAGCACCCTAAAATAGTACTATACAATGGACTTGTATATACAATGGTGAGACCTTTAGGCGGTGCGAGTATCAAAGTATGAACAGCTGCTTTGTGTGTCATTGATCCCTGAATGAGACTGAAAGTAAAAACAAATCTTTTGTCTTTGTGAACAGCATAAAGGTTTTTGTAAAGGAAGCAAGTCTGAGGTTATGGGTCAAAAACATCTCTCAGTAGAGTGTGAAATCTTGGAGCCTGAGGTAATTTTTTGTAAACTTGTTCTGTTAAGTGAAAAATATATCAACAGTATGCACTATACGATAAGAATAACTTTATAAAAACCCTTTTCAGTTAAATATGAAATGTTTAGCAGCTCGTTCATGTTTATTAATATTTTCATTTGCACAGGGTACCAACTAAATTCATTTCTTTTTAAAGGGTGCAGAAAAGGAGAAATCAAGGCATTTGCTGGGTGGAGAGCACAGCCATGCGCACGACCATGACCACACCCACGACCATGACCATAAACAGGGCCACGACCATGACCATGACCATAAACAGGGCCACGACCATGACCATGACCATAAACAGGGCCACGACCATGACCATGACCATAAACAGGGCCACGGCCATGACCATAAACAGGGCCACGACCATGACCATAAACAGGGCCACGACCATGACCATAAACAGGGCCACGGCCATGACCATAAACAGGGCCATGACCATGACCATGACCATAAACATAACCACACAGGTGAGCACGGTCACCAGCATGATCACAAACACCTCCACGCCCATGAGCATCACCACAATCATCGCGACGATGCCCCTAAGAAGACCGCTAGGGTAACTCATGGTGTGGTACGCTACCTCCCACCCTTGGACGACCCCACAGCAGTGTCCTCGCTGCCCGACCAGCCTGACGCCTCGGAGGCACACCGTCCTGTCACTCTGCCAGTGTTCCCCGATGCACACGGCTCACATGCCAAGGAACCTGCCATCCCCCCCTTCCCCGACACAGTGTCACCGGAGTGTCCTGGGGACCCTGCCAGAGAGATCTCCTTCATCAAAGAGCTCATTGACAAGGACCCACTATTCCAACATAAAGCTCATTAATTAGTGAGCGAACTTGCTTCTGTAGACCAATGCTTCCCAATCCGGTCCTCTGGGACGCGCAGACAGTCCACATCTTTGCTCCCACTGGGAGCTGGGAAGGAGCAAAAATGTGAGCTGTCTGTCAGGGAACCGAGAGGGAGCAAAAACCTGGACCGTCTGTGGGTTCCTGAGGACCGAGTTAGAAAACACTGCTGTAGACAAAATACTCATTTAATCTGTGTGTCATTTTACCGCAGCATATTGCTATTTAGTGTTAAACTGGCCAAAGCTAAGTTATTTTCAATGCACACTCTGTATGTGTTCTTTATCTTAACTGGGAGTAATTAAAGTATTCAAAAACTTGCTCTTGGGATATGTCTCATTAAACTATTTAGATTTTGAAAATCTCATCAAAATCATTCATATTTTCAAATGAACAAAGCATGGCTGGAGCCTGAGCTGCAGGTCACAGAGCGCAGTGAGCACTCACAGAGAAGTATGAGCACTCACAGAGCGCAGTGAGCACTCACAGAGAAGTATGAGCACTCACAGAGCGCAGTGAGCACTTACAGAGCGCAGTGAGCACTCACAGAGAAGTATGAGNTGAGCACTCACAGAGAAGTATGAGCACTCACAGAGCGCAGTGAGCACTTACAGAGCGCAGTGAGCACTCACAGAGAAGTATGAGCACTCACAGAGTACAGTGAGCACTCACAGAGAAGTATAAGCACTCACAGAGCACAGTGAGAACTCACAGAGAAGTATGAGCACTCACAGAGCGCATGGCTGCCTCAGAGGGCAGAAGGCTGTTCCCCTCGGGGATGGCTGCTCTCCCTGCCCCTGTCCTGCCTCTGTATGATACACCGCCTTCTTCCTGCATTCCGCAGTGAAGCTGTTTGGGTCATTGGTGAACCCTAAACTGCCAGTTGTGAAAATCACGAAAACATTCTTTTGGAAAGAATTTTGTACCTCACTTGAAAATCAGAAAAGCATATATGTTGCTTTTTCTCTCTGTCAAAAAAAATGATTGGTTGCATGAAATGAAATAGCTGGATTAAATTACAAGAATGATTTTCCTGGTCAAAGTCGCAGGCAGCCTGGAGTCTATCGCAGGCAGCACACGACACATGGATACATCCTCGACCGGAAGCTAGTCCATTGCAGGGGACACATATTCATGGATGAAGGGAAATACCAGTTAGCCTACCGACAATTGGGCTATGAGAGGAAACCTACATAACACAGAAAGACCAAGCAAACTCCATAAACAGGGTTATATTGTTTTTTAATTGAAAAAATAACAATAAAACAACTGAACTAGTGGAGTCAAAAACAGCCCAACTCACTGGCTCTTCTCAGCAAAGATGCTGAGAAATCTGCCACTTGCATTAGCTGGCCATCAGCATCATTAAACCAGACATACTGAAGAGTTACATGTTCAGTGCTCACAGTGGTTGTGTGTTGGTCTGAAAATTCACACAAGAAATAGGTTTAGAGAAAATAGGTGTCAATCTTATACTGGGACGAAAGCTTAATAAAAAAGGTAAGGTAGGGTTCTATTTCCAAGCCAATGGCTCCACCCAGTGGTCATAAGTAACATGACAAGGTCAGCCATCTACCATCATCAGGTGGCCTGGCACACAGTCCTGGGTGCTGCCCCACTTTGTCCTGGGGATATACCCCAGGGCGCCCAGCATCTCCATAATAGATAAGTGGCTGGAAGCCAGATGGATGGAGATGGAATTTGCAGTAGGAAGTATGGCATGCTTACCACAGGTCTCGGAAGATTAAAATGGCTGCAAGTTCGAGTCACAAATGTCTGAGATAAAAAATCTGTAGTGGGCTGCACCAGCTTTGAGTCAGTTCGATTGTGAGGTCCGGTGTACAGTGTACCTTAAATTATACGTTGTAACTACCCAGTTTGAAACTAGTGCCGCATTCTTTGTCAGCTGTAGTAATGCCTCTTTATTAAAGCATTTTGGAAATTTTTTTAGAGAAACATGACTGAGGGTGTGGATGTTTCTCTGGACTGAGGCCTACAGAGGAGATTCCTGAACATACTCACTGGTGTCTGCCACAACATTACAGCAACAGCTAGACCTTCTCCTATACTATATATCCACAGGGGATTTCTGCAGTTCTACTTCACACAGATCTATGCAAGCACCAGCCATTACCCACTGTTTCAGAAAACCAAGCTCATCAATGATTAACTTTGTTCTTCTTGAAATTGAAAGCTTCTTTGGAATTTAAATTCTTATTAATTTTCCTTGAAAATATACTTTTCCTGTATAATAAGATGGATGAATGTTATTGCATTCATAGATAACCAAATCAAACACCTAGTTTAGCAGAACTGTAAGCTGCTTTTCTAGAAGGACAGTGGGATGAAATCCAAGCTAAAACAAAAACAGGAACTGGAACTGTTTTCATTTCTCCAAATTTAGATTTATTTGTTACAGCCATTTCCTTTTACATGCTGGAAAGCAGGGAGAGCATGCTGTCTGTCACCTCCATTAGGGATGTTCATAACCCTTCCCCGCTGTGTGCCTGTGTATGAAGTGCATGCTCTCCCTGTGGGGGTGAAGTGAACATCTCCAGACCACGACAGTGGATCTCCTTCATGCTAGATAGTTGGAACCACAAATGCAGACCACATATGCTTAGTCTCCTTTCTCTGCGATCTTATTCCACTTCTGTTATTAGAAGATACATACAGATAATTTTGGTCGAAATCAGGTGTAGTCGAACTTCTGAATCCCACAATATTTCATAGTTAATGCTGTTTTTAACACTGAATACATAGTTATTTCATTCTTGTTTGAAAAAAAAAAAAGAAAATAACTGTTCATATGAACAATGCTTGTTCCAGACATGTTGATAGTGTATACTGTATACCTTAAGCAGAGAGATAATATTATAGCTACTATTATAGCTATTTATTGGAAAAAATCGCTTACAGGGCGATTTAGAAAGATGATAAAATGTTGGTCGCATATTACCATATACCACTTGAGGAACCTTGTTGACAATAAAAAAAAAATCCCCTGGTGTCACGCGAACTGTTAGGGACCACTGCGTCCTACTTGTTATTAGGTAAGTTCTACTTGGGGGAAGAGCTCCGAACTAAAATTGACCAATTAAAGATGCAGCCGTTTTACTGACAGAAAAATCAACAAATCAGCGAGCGGAAATTTACCCCGCCCATAACTGTCACTTTCATTCCGCACAGAACTGAAAGTGTATCACTCTGCGTTTTAAAGGACCCGGAAATAGAATATAGTTTCTCTGAAGAATAAATGAGCTTTGTCAGTCACCCTGAGTGCCATGCCATTTGATTAATGGCTGGTGGGTTGTGGGGTCAGAGCGAACAGGAAGTTCGCGCAGCCATTTGCCTGATCATCACAAGGCGGCTCGGCATGTGATATCGATCAGCTACCAGGGGCCGAGGCGGAGCTCAGGGTAAACGGCTGGCCGCATAAAGACAGCCAACGTCCTCCGACCAAGCGTGCTGTCACTCAAGACATGCAGTTTGATACCTACCTGAATCTCCATCGGATCCTCTGAGCCCTGGACTGCAACCATGGTTCACGTGTACAACTGTCACCCTTTCGCATCCCAGCAAATCGTACCAACCGAGCAGGAGCCCGGACTGGTGTGCTGTGGGGGCGATGCCCTCTTCGTGGTGTCTGCCGGAGGATGCAAGATCGAAGCCTATCAGATGCTGGAGGAGACGTGCTGCTTTATATGTCGCTTTTCGACCATGGGCAGCGTTAAGACCATAGCGTACAATCTCCTGGGTGAGTACAGTATGTTTGCCAAATGCCTCCATTTAAGTAAAGGTATTCGGTATGTGGCGTCTTGTTATGCTTAGACTGAGGAAATGTGACTGCGTGGTGGCATTACGTATATATGTGCTCAAAACAGCTCTGCCAGCATTAAGAAGTGTTGTTTTATTCCCGAAGAGAGGTGTTTCTGATTTTCTTAAAAATAAGTTGGAATCACGTGGTCTTATGAAAAGTGCTCTGTGTTACCAGGGAGGTTCACCACCACTCTCAGGATGACAGTGAAGTCTGAGTATTTTTTTCTCTTTTTGCAGTAGTGATCATAACAGCGATAAACTATTTCTTGAAACAGCAATTTATATTGTAAATACATTTCTGATGGCTGGTAACTTAAAGCAACCTCAAAGTAAAATTATTTCAGAAATATACTTCTTTGAAACATAAAATGAATATGTATTAAATTTTAAAGTTTAATAGTATCTGTACTGTATATAGTATATGTTTATTGCATTATTTTTAAGGTTGTATGATTCGCTAAAGGAAAGATCATTACCATTGTGGGACTAACTACACAACTGTGAATTTGTGGGTATAGACTCACAGGAGATATTCCGTTTTAATCGTTGCTTTAACAACAGACACGTTTAACATAGTAGAACTGTACTGTTTGTTCTTGAGAGGTATAAGATGGCTGCAGTCAGGGATTCAAGATTGAATCAGGTCAGATAAGATGCACTGATGTTAGTCTGACACCCTTGTGATGAGCTGTGAAATTGAGTGGTGTTTATTAAGCCCTGCGATCTGAAGTTAAATGTGAAATTCTCATCCGTCTGCCCTCTGCCTGAGTTATTGTCTTATGAATATGCCACTTTGTAAAGGACAGCATGGCCTGGTCTTTAGGTATGGCTGATTTGTGGATTGCTTTGTTCCAGGGGATTATCTTGTTACGATCGAAGAGAAGAACATGGCCACTTATCTTCGCGCCTACACCAACTGGCGCTACCAAGCTGCGGAGAAGACTCGCGTGGGCGTCCGTCTGCTGGGCCACCTGCTGAGGAGCTCATCTTTCAGAGGCGCGCCCAAGGAGCAGATGGAGATCATCGAGATCCCGCTGGTGGAGCCGCCGCTGTGTGTGGCCTGCTGTCCGCTCACAGGGGACCTCCTGGTGGGCTGCTCCCGGAGCCTGGTGCTCTTCAGCTTGAGGAGGCAGACTGTGGAGGAGCGGCTGTGCGTGCTGGACTTTGAGCGCCTCCTCGTTCTGCACGTGCCGGGCTGGACGCCCTCTCAGGTGGCCTTCTGCGCCGGTTATGTGGCCCTGCAGACGGACCTGGAAGTCCTGGTGGTCAAGCTGGAGAACCTCAGAAGCCAGTCTGTGGAGCGGCAGGAGTGGCAGGAGCAGCAGGAGCACTGTCTGCTGCCAAATGACATGGTACCTGCAGCCAGCAGTGATGAAGATTCAGGTAAGGGGGGTGTCTGGCAGCTGATGGCATAGACCATTAACGCCTACTCAGAGTGGTCCTCAGCCGGGGGCGTAGGAACCGGGGGGGCGGCAT